ATAAATTTAATAGCTTAACAGGGGGAAGTAATCTGATGGTTTAGTCTTTTGTTACAGTATTATTAAAATTGATAGAATTCAGCTGCTTAGTCTTTCAAATATGTCTTGAGAAATATCTGAGTTTTGCTCAAATCTATTATGCTGCTGAAAAATTGTCAGCATACACATTAAGTCAGATTTTTTACTAAGTCATTTTTTGGATAGTGACCTTAATCCATTGATGATATTTTCTGTTTTTCTTAATGCATTTCCGAGAATTACATGACATGTTGGATGAAGTGGAGTTACACTTGTTTATATTAATTTCAATAACTAGATTAGGACTTTAATTCTGGTTTCAGCAGTATAACCTTGGGCAAATAATATAACCTCTCTGAGCCATATTTTCTTTGTCTTTCCAATGAAACTAATTTCGCTTAATAATAAGATTTAAAAAAAAATGCTATGTGTGTCAAATAATTCATTGTGACCAAAGTGGGTATAAAGCTGTTAAGACACTCATTCACTCAAAAATGTCAAGACTAAATCTGAGTTGTATAGCACTAATTGTTAATTATAACTGATGATAAGTTTTTGTATAATATTTATGAATCTAGATGTCAGCAGCTATTTTCATACTGAATTACATTTATAAATAGGGTGATTTTTTTCATACATACATTCAAATCATTGAATAGCTACACATTATCTAATAGTAGAAAAATTGTTATTTTAAATTGGTACTATGTTTATGCTAGCTAAGTAGAATTTGCATGTAGCTTCAAACTTGCATGTGAAGCAATACATGTAAACTTGTCTGAAAACAGGTTCCCTGTGTTCATATATTATAGAGAACATTGGAACATATATATCAGTATAAAACTTTCATATTCCTTATAAACTAATTTATGTTTTGCAGTATAGGCAAATGTCTAATCATGTTACATTCCTGAAACCAACACACATCAGTTATATCTAAATCAAAAAGTTCTTTGAGAAAAAGTTTGAGAACATGGTTGGAGAGAGCACAATGGTTATGGTGGATGCTGAGGACTGTGGAAGCTTCTTTCCATGGTGAAAGTGCTGCTACAGGGTCAAGCAGGAGATTCTATACCTTCAAAACAGTAATGAGGATATATTGATAAAATAGTGGTACTTCAATTAAAAAAAAAAGTCATAGTCAAAGAAATGTAGGGAATACTTGGGGAAAGATTTCATTAAGCTGGTACTTAGGACTTGTGCCCTATGCTGTATTGTATTATACCTCATTTAACATAAAAAAAAAGCATCATACAGAGGAATAAAAGCTTATTTGATTGTGAAACAAAAACATAGAACAGTTGGAGAATTTAAGAGAAAGGTAAAGTCTTCTTGGGCCTACAAGATAATTTAGAATGTTTCTTACAGAAGTAGGTGGTAAGAGAATGTAGAGATCCTTCAAAGGGAGAAATGGTAGAGGCAAGATTGTAGTGATGGAAATGAACAGTTCACTTTTGGACTTTGGAGTTGATCATTAGCTTATATCGGAAGATTAATATCAATACCAGACCTAAGGGTCATGACTGCTAGATTAGGGATTCTTTATATGCGGTTGATAGGGACTCACTGAATATTTTTATAGGGTTAATGTTGTCAAGTATATACTTTGAAAGATTAATGTAGTCATGGAATACAGGATCGATTGGTATCTAACAGATACCAATTAGGGAGGTTGTTTTTTGAAATCCAGATATGGAGTATATCAGTTATGCTTTAAACTGAGATTGTTGAAAAATGGCAATTTGATGTTTTGACATATGAAGGTCTTCAGTCTACCTTCTGATGTTATCAGCACATAAATGCATCTAAACTTTTAAAGGAAAGAAAAACTATAAGCGCTTGTTCAAATTAAGTACAGTATTTGAAGAGTTACAAAGTTTTCCTTGTTTTCTTTATTGATAATGTTTAGCAATTACAACAACAAAATCCTGCCCTTATAAGCTTAAGTGTTAATTTCATTTTCGAATATTTGGTAAGTCTCAAGCTTGGTACCATTTCAGTTATTGTATTCTGCCTTATCATGTGGCATATGGTAAATACAAAGTGAAATGCCACAGCTATATTTTATTTAGATGTTGTGTTTGTTTTTATATTTTCTTAGTCAGTTTTAGAATATGTATAATGTGGCTATGGTCATACCACCCTGAACGTGCCCAATCTCGTCTGATTTTTGAAGCTAAGCAGGTTCGGGCCTGGTTAGTACTTGGGTGGGAGGATATGTATAGTGAAGTAATAATAACTGAATTCCTAAATATAAACACTAGATAGGATTTTACAAATTTTCAAAAGATTGATCTTTCCAACTATGAGTTTTCTAAATTCACTACTTAAAGGGTTATTTGTATCTTATTTAAGTCAGTAAAATTTACTAACTCCATATTGTCTTAAGTGAGATATCCACTTAACAATAAAGCAAAGCATTCGAAATAAACTTTTTAAAAGAAAAAAATTGATATTACATATAAGAGCTGTTTTCCCCGCTGCCCTATGTCTTCTATGGACAAAACATTAAATATTCTTTCTTGTCATAAGTTGGTAGAAGTATGCTCTCTTTGTGCCTGCTAGGCTACTATTAAGAGTGCCCAGGCCCTCCCATGTTTCAAACAAGATAGAATTTTTTTCATTTCTCATTTAACATTTTCAGGCTGGCGGAAGGTTGGTGGCTCTATTCTGCAAGGTTATCCAGAAACCCTCACCAGCCAAGAACCCAACCTCTGTGGCTGCACAGTTACCACCCACATGTGCTACTGATATTTGTATTTAAAATAAATTAAAAATTCTTTGTTTATATGGAACTCTAGTCACTAGTAAGGAGGAGTGAGCAAGGAAGACACAGTTTTGTCATAAATGATACAAAAAATACATATATCATTTTTGCTTGATCAAAATTTAGTGATTTGTTGGTATGCAAGTGTGACTAGAAATATTCTTACCTGGGTGAAGTGTACTCTGCTAAAACTTGGTTTATTTGGATGCTGGGGTAGTAGGAGTATTCTCACCAAGAGGAAAAAAAAATGACTGTAAATATTTGAGGACAACTGACTGTCTAGTTCACATACCCAAGTGTTAATAATCACAATATAAGGTTTTTCCCTTTCCCTCCAAATCATCATGGGTAAAAAGTCTTATTTTCACTGGCTGTGCTGAGATTAACCTAGAAATGTGTTGTTTTGTTTTTAGTATTTCGATTCTTTCAAGTGTAACAAAATTAGCCATATGATCATTTTGACTCCAAGTCCATAGTTTGAGCATTACTTTCATTTTTCTCAACTTTGAAAAGTTGATAATCTTTTGTCTGATTGCAACCAAAAGCCTTACACTTTTATTTCTGTCTGATTTAAAATATTTTGATGATGAGTTGGTGACTTAATTGTTCCTTCTTTCTCCCCACCCCTTGTTGTTCTCCATGTTATTCACATTTATAACCATTTGTCACATAACTCCTAGATAACTAGGAGTGTAATTGCTGGATCATATTGAAATTCCATTGTTGGTAGTTTGAGGAACCTTTCACAGCTTTCCATAGTGGTTGGGCCAGTTTGCATTCCCACCAGGCAGTGTAGGAGAGTTCCTTTTTCTGCACATCCTTGCCAACATTTGTTGTTGCTAGTTTTTTTAATATGTGCCGTTCTCACTGGTGCATCGGTGAAAATTGGTGGTGGGAATTTCATGGAAATATCATACATTGTAGAAAAATGAAGGGTGATGTAATAAATGTATTAAAATAATTAAAAAAAAATCCTCATTAGAAAAAGATAATATATATATATAATTATTGCTATTTTATGTAAATGATCAATTTGTAGAATAATTTTCACTTTTAAATACTATGGACTTTTTATTGATCATTACAATAAAAATTTCTTCTGTTGACTCAGATTGTTTTGCCTTCAAAGATATGTATCTCCTTTAGAGATTTATCTGTGTTTTATCAGTGTTCTACAACTTTATTGCCCATTATTTTTGGAGTTTACCTATTTTGCCATGATATATGACCAGTGACTGTAATGCCTATAGTAACTTTAAAAACATGTTCCTAAGGTTAATTAGCTAATGTTAGTCTCTGAACTCTAATGGTCATACTTTCATTCTAATGATAAGTTGTGCAATTTTAGGCTACTTTTTATCTTTATAAGAGAATAGTATAAAAATGTCAAAAAAATTTCCTCATGCTCAGTTCACTAGTAAATATACTGCTAAATCTGAATCTTTTTGGCAGTAGTTCATGACACTCAGGGGACAATGTTTTTATAGAATGATCTATTTCAAAGGGTATTGATTTCTATTGTAGAAGATTCATGCATTTAGAGCAACTTAAAGTCAAAACAATTGTGTTTGTGCTATCTGTTTAAAATATTAGTTATCTTTAATGCATGCCCAGGTTAAGTGTCAGGAGATATATATTGCTCAACAAGGAAATTTATTGTTAGGAGACCAGGCTGTACCTGTGTTTATACACAGCATTTTCCTTAGAGGATCAATGTGAGTGTAGGAACTAGTAACAGTCAAATTTTTGTACAGTAACATTATTGATAATAAAGGAGAAGTTCATTGAGGAGAACAACAAATAAAGGAAGCATAAAAGTCTCATACTGCATGAAACTACAGAAATGGATCAAAGAGTTTGACAGGAAATTTAATGTGTACATAAGTAGAGGCTGACAGGAACATGCTGTGTATGCCAAAGGTTCCAGTGATGAAAAACCGAAACATAGTGCTCACTGACCACAGCATGAGCCTTGACACACATTGTAAATAACCCAGAGATCTATGACTGCATTAAGCACTAGGCTGGTGTATTAATGGCAGTAAATCTGTAGCATCATAAAGGGCTGGCATGTAGAAATTCCTCTGATTAATTTTTGTAATGGATTAATAGGAATATAGCAAATATTTTTATTTTAAATACTATCATTCTCCAACCTTGCCTTCTACACTGTCTTCCCCAGTGTGATCATTATTTATTTCCTTCTGTTCACCAGACTTGTGTATGTGGATACTTGTTTCAGTACCATCAAATTAACAGCTGAAGATACTACTGGTAGACAGCATCTAATCACTATCAAGTTCAAGGCAAAGGTATGTGTTATTACACTGTTGCTGTGGTCAGAAAATACTTTGAGAAATGAACTCAGTTGTTTTTTTTTTTTTTTATGTAAAGAAGTGCTAGTTGCTTCTAAGAACATAGGTCTATTGTGCTTGTAAAAATTCACTTTGGAAAGCATCAAAGAATTGATTCACCAGGTTTCTAAAAGCTTACATATAAAGTCATGTCACTGTTTTAAATTCAATTTAACCAAAATATATATTTCATGATATATGCCTCAAAACACCATCCTGTGCCTCTTATAACATCCTGCATAGTAAAGTGTTACAAGTTTGCACCACCACAAGTACACAAAGTTCTACTGATGTTTTTACCTTAAACTCTTAGTATGAATTAGCTTTGTAGTTCTTTTTTTTCTGATCTGCTAGCCCCCAATCAGATAAACATACGCATCATTTTGTCTGATTTTTTTTTAACCTTTGTATTTTAAGAATTTGTAAAGGTTATGGCTCTATTTATAGAGAGCCCTTACAAGTTGGTGATCTAGAACTATATTAATTAGCACAAAACATAACAGTTTTGTCTTTTTAGTTGAAGGCTTTGAATTTTGAGAAATAAATAGAATAAGTGAGTTCAGCATATTGATCATTTATTTAGTAATCACTACGGAAACATTAGAATTTGAGAAAAACCAGGACATCTAGCTTTTCTTTTTATTGTTCGTAGGAGTCATCAATCAATTCTATTTCAGAAGATTGCAGTGATGAAAAGATCAATTGTGTTTGTCCTTTTTAAAAATGTGTCTGGCATTTAAGCTTTCCACAAGAGAAAATTAATATATAAAGCTGTACTGGGTGACATAGAAAAGTTGTTATCTTACAGTGCCTCTATATCAGACACATTGAGAAATGAGTTTTTCTCTCTTTTTGTACACACAGAATGTTTAGGTAGGATTTTACGACTCGTGATAAGTACTGAAAAAAATTATTGGAATAGAAATCTTATTTGTAAAAGATGTTACATGGATATTTTCACTAAAATGTAAAAAGATCATTTTCCTTTTAATTTTTAAAGGTGTGCTTGTTTAAGATCAAGGAGAAATCTGCCTTTATCCTTCCAAAGGTCATATTGCCAGTGGCAATGGTTCTGTCATTTCCTTGAAAGCTTTATTTGTTTATATTTTATACATTGATAAAAGTCACTTTGCTTCTATGAAGACCAAAATGAGATTTTTTAAATACATCCTGTCCTGATTTTTTTAAAAATAGCCTCATTATAATAAGCTTTTCTATTTGGTAAGAATAATGCTTTAAGTCTATACTGCCTATAACTACACCTACAAGATTTTTTTTTAAAGATTTGTTTATGTATGCATACAGTACTGGGGTATAGGCCAGAGGTGCAGGGGTGGTGAGAGGATTCACCAGAGACAGAGTTGGGAGCAGAACAGGCAGATTGACAAATACACTGCTGAGGGGAGCAGTGGGCTAGAAAGGAGAGGTCTGCCAGGCCTTGTGGATCACCTCTGGGGTGGGGATCGAACTCTGGACAGAAGTGGCCTTGGCCAGCTTTGCAGTGCTGCTGCTTTAACCCGCTGTGCCACCAGGGAGGGGCACTACAAGATTTTATAATAAATTCCAGTTAAAGACATTATTGGTTGTATTGAGAGTGAGGATGGAACCACACATACAGTTCATTCTTCTGTTTTTTCTTATATCTTGTCAAGGATGATAAAGGGACATGTTTAATATTTCTCTGGAGAATATTTTCAAGTGTCAATTTTTGCAGCATTGACAGTTGTGAAGACTTTCATGGCAAGAGAGAAGAAAAAGCTTTATTTGAGTTAGGAAGGAATTGGGAAGAAAAATAAGCTGCCTTTTTTTTTTAAATAGGTGGAATTGAATGAATCTTATGTTGTTATAATTCATTAGTCTTTATTTGTCCATTTAGTTTAGTTTTCATGGAGACCAAAATTGTCTTGCAGATTTGGTAGTTTCTTTTTGTATGTTAAGAGTTCACAATCCAAATCTTAATACAAAATTAATTTTAAAGTGATAAGCTCACTTTTAAAAATATACCTTAAAATAGGCTTATTTTCTTAAATACATAAATATTTCATGTTTTTGATATGTAGAGGAGAAATGTTATTGTTTTATTCTTGATACCTACCCTCCCTATTTTGCCATTCAACATTGTCTTCAAAAAACTAAGGAAACATTTACAAATTTTGAGTAGAAACTCCCTACTGATTATAAATAATTTAAATAAAAAATATTTGGGATACAGGAAATAAATAAAGGGGACAGGGAACAGTTGAAGTTTGCCCTTTTTTATAGATTTTTTTTTTACAGTGACACTCACATTTACATTTATTACATATCCTGAAATATGGAGTGAAATTATCTTTAATTTTAAAAAAGAAATAGCCTAGGACTTCGCAGCTTTGGCCAAATCAGAACTAAAAACAAGTAAGTCACAGATGTGTAGCAGAGACTGAGTACTCTGTCTTACATGGGCATTTTTGTAAGTTTCATTTTGTGTATTTATTTGGAGGAAACTTCACTGCTTAAATGGTATAGTAGCAGAACAGATTGATTTTAAGCTTCCCTTAGAATATTATATGCTGAAAAAATGTGTATGACAACATACTGGATATTTTATAATGTTATCTGTATTATAATTTAAGTATAATTTTTCATAGTTATTGATTTGATTTCATTGTTTCAAGTGAGATTTGAAAAATTATAAAAGTGATTGCTGTAATTTTAGAAAATATTCCTTTGTTGATGTCAGTTAGATTTCTACAGTAACACTTTGCAGTTTTGATGGTTTTATATATACCTAGGAACGTACAATTAAAAGTTACTGGAATTTTGGTAAAGTCATGTGATGTTATATTTAGTTACCAAAGTTGTAGTCACCATTACAATACAAATGATTCTGAAAATGAGTATATAAGTCAGCACTTTCTAATTCATGTGAAATCATCCAGAATTATATATGCTTTTATATTCTGTACAGTTATATGGTTTGTTAATATGTAAGCAAAATTGATCTTAACTGTACACATAACACATACATATATGAATATAACTTAAAACATGCAAATAAAACTTCTTCCTTGTAAATTGTTTTGATTTATTGCACATATTTATATCAATTTCATAATTACATATAAATATATTTGAAATATGTAATTTCAGAAATTACATGGTAGACTTATTTATGTATGAAAGGTTGTATTTATTATAGCCTGCTTTTTTGTTTAACTGTTTCCATACATAGCATTTAGTACACTGAGTCCCACTGAATGGAGATCAAATTTTCCTTTAACATGATGTTTATATATTTAATGATTTCCAAAGTTCTAGAAGCAAGTAAAGATACTTAAGTTTTATTATCTACTTTAAATACAGTAAACATTCATTTACTTCATACTCTTATCTAGACTGAGGAGTTGTTACAGAGTTGGACTTGTTTGCTGTCAGAATCAATGGGCAGTGAACAGCAGCAACTCAACAGAGATTTTGTAGTTAGTTTTCATTTGTGCATTTCTTGATTCTTTTAACAGATACTCCCTCTAAATATAGTAATTGAGACTATATTTTAGACTGAAAGGAACTAAATATTAATTTGTATAATATTTAAAGATAAAGAAAACTAAGATCCACTGTGTTTCACACCTCAAATCACCTTAGCAGCTGACCTCACACTGAGTTAAGTTTTTTCTCTTTATCCAAAGTGATTGCTTTGATACTTTGCTCCATCAAACTTTGTACCTCTTGTGTATAACTTAAATAAGAATCAACTCTTGATGTCTCTATAGTAATAGAATTGAAATATTTAAAAATGCAACACATTTGTATTTATACTTTCTTCTTATACTGTTTTTCTAAAATACCTTATATGAAATTGTCACAGAAACAAAAATTGCCTAATCTTGTTTTTCTATAGTACCCTGCAGAGCCACCAGATTGTTTTGTGGATTTTCCTATTCCATTTTCTGTTTCATGGACACCACAGGTAAATTCTTAAATTTATTTTAAGTAGCTAAATGTTTATAGGTGGTTATTATAGGTTACAGTGTTTTGTTGTTGTTGTTGTTATTTATATACGTCTTCTAGAGTATTTTTATTAATTAGTGTCCTATTTTTCTACACACACACATTCAGCCTCTAGATCTTTATGCTAATTAGATAAATTGGAAAAACCTCTGTTTACAGAAATTTTCCTTTAAATTTAAGTCCTGCAGAACACTTTTCAGGTAATGATCAATAAGTGGAAAATTAGTTGAAATTTTTCTTATTGCTAAAACTTTTAACAGCAAAAGTTTTGATGCTTTGAAACTTTCATACTCTGAATAAAGAATAGAGATTATTTCTACTGCTCATATGAATTTAATTTCTCAGTGCATTAAATGGTATTTAACCAAGTAGTTAAGTATCAGTAGTATGTCTGTAGACATAAGATCGTATGATTGTCAGTATTATGTGCTTATATTTCTTTAAAATTTGGCAGAATGGTGATTTGGTTCATAAGAAAAGCTAATGATAGATATGGTTCTTTTTCAACAACAAAAAAATTGTGATGAAGCAAAATGGAGAGAATATTTTTATTCCTATACAAAGAAAATTTCCTAGTGACATTTTACAAATATTCTCTGAATAGATGCTACTCATATATGTGTTTTGAAACTTGGGTAGGTTCAAATAAAAATTACTTTAAATTACAAATACATAGTGTAAAGCACTTGTTTTGATTATTAAGTTGATTTAAGGAAAAGGAAATCTATAGGATTAATGTAAACTTTGTGAAAACTCAAATGACATTTTAATTGTACGGATATTCAAAAACTATTTTCAGTGGAAATTGAGAAAATAGCAAAATAATAGGAGAAGAAAACCCCTTTGACTTGCTTTTGATATTCTGATGTGTTATATAAAAACAACTCTTCATTATTTTAAAATAATTACATGTAACATGTATATATAGTTTTTTTTTGAATATGCATTTTCTGTTTGATTTATTAAGCTCACGTTTTATGTGAGATTATGAGAGAACATGGTATCTGGATTATATTCCTGTTTCTAGAGAGACTATTTCTAAACAATACTTTATTATTTATCAAAAATAAGTCCAAATAATATAATTTTGATAGTTTCTTAATGCTTTGCACTTAGATAACCATGCAAGTTATCCCCAGATTTGAATCTGTGAAAAAGTTTGTTCTACACACACACACAAACTTTTGGCATTTCCTTTCTTATTCTGTCATTTAGCAAATCATTTTTTTTTTTTTAAACATTTATTTATTTGCATGCAGAGCTGGGCTACAGGCAGGGGGAGGTGCAGGGTCAGTAAGAGGATTCACCAGAGACAGAGTGGGAAGCAGAACAGGCAGATAGATGTAGTACAATGCTGAGGGGAGCAGCGGGTGGGTCAGGAGAGGTCTGCCAAGCCATGTGGTCACCTCCGGGGCAGGCGGGGATCAAACTCATGAGGAAGTGGCTTTAGCTTCTCAGGGCTGTGCTTTAACCTGCTGTGCCACCAGGGAGGGCCAGCAAATCATTTTTTTTTTTTTTTTTTTTGACTCCAAGACTGGAGACACTGAGGACAATTTCTTTTAAATTTTTAAATGTAAATCTCTACTTAATACCAGCTCAGTGCCTTACACATAAGCATGGAACAATTGTTTACAACAGTAATTCCCGTTCAAGTTTTAGATTTTTCTGTTCTGTATGAGCTTCAAGAAAGTAATAGAAATCATATAAATTCTCTTTTAAATTATAGTATATAAAAAAATTTTTTAGCAAGCTACAGATAAAAATTTGAATACCTTTTTACTCACAGGTCATTTTCATAGATGTTAATATTTTGTTATATTTGTTTCAGTACTCTCTTCCTGGATTTTAAGAAATACATCTCTGGGATTTATTCAACATTGTCACATTCTTTACCAAATGATTATATTTTTATACTTGTATCGAGCAATGAATGCATGGTAATCCCCAATCCTTTCTGAGGCTGAGTCTGAGTTTAGTCTGACCTTATTTCTTACAAATTGGTAACCTTTGCTTATTTAAATATATTATTATAAAGATTCCTTATTTATTTAGAATACTAACGCTTTGTTACATAGGATATAAGTATCTTCTGTTTGGGTTATCTTCTTAAATTTTTGTTTAAAACTTAAAAGTTTAACTTTTAAGTGTGATCACATTTAGCAGTCACTTTGTGATTCTTGTTTTGTGTGTTTGGAATAAGAAAATCTTGAGCATATGTGTGTGGTATACCTTGTGGTAACCAATGTTACGTCTATAAAAATCCTACAACAGCTAAATGAACAAAATCTGCTTTATCTTGTTCTAATGCTATCTGTTCTGAAGTAACTTTTGTATATGTTTAAATACTCAAGATAGAAATCTGTGTTTATACTTGCCTACCTTATATACTCATAAAACTTGGATATATTAATTTATTGAGGTCTGGGAATGATTTCACAGTTGTTCTTTTACACATGCTACTATCCTTTACAAAATTTCAAAAACTATTTGTTTCAAAAACTAGACTATAAGTCTAGCTATACATCATAAACACCTTGGTGATGGTTCCAGTAGTATGAAATTTTGAGTCTTATCGGCATGGTAAGGATGTTGGCAATATTAGATCTTTTTTTTATTGACTAATTGGAAATAATTCTGCTTGTGAGAGTTATTTTTTCCAACAGTTTTTAAACAGTCGTAGTTTTAAGCAACAGAAATGGTACTATTGCAGTCCAATTGCAAAGTTGTATTTAAGAGATTGTAAATAGGTTCCAGATAATTTTTTTTTTTCTAATTCCTTGTCTGTTTTTGTACATTTCCTCTTTAGATTCTGTTTTTCTGGACTTTAACTTGGAAGATCTTTTCTTTCTGTAAAATAATAGACATGGCTTTGTGGCATCCATATTAAAAATGGGTAATTTTCCTTATGGTCCCTGTCTTCCTGCTGGGTTGATAATGTTTTGATGTATTTTTCTTTTGCTCTGATGAGAGGTCTGCTGCTGCTGCTCTGACATATTCATTTGGATGAATAATTATAACTTGCACAATGTCAAGCTGAAGATGGTAGGGTTTTGTGCGTCATGACAAGCCTAGTAGCCAGTGCAGGTGTCTCACAGCATGATCAGCAGCAGCCAGTGTATTCTGGCTCAGAGGAGACATTTAGAGTAGTAAGAAATCAGCACCAAGGGCAAGGCTGCTGCTACTACTGCTGCCGTGGTTTGTGCCAAATAAATGCAAAGTGCTTCTCAAAGACAAGTGACTGCACACCTCTTTTACGAAATTTACTTTGTTTACCCGGTAATGTAATAGCACCTCATGATTTTGATCTTATTCTGCTTCCCAACATCACAGATACCTCAAAATGTATCTTTAACAACCTGCTACCTTTTGGACTTTTAAATACAGGCAGGTCATGTATAGGAATACTGTTGATAAAAGAGAAAGTAGAATGCCCTAAGATAAGAAATTAAGTGCTTTGATATTAGTGATTGTATAAAAGTAAAACCGGTTTTCTCCAGGTCCCTGATCAGACCCACATGGATGTTAAAATTGCACTTCTACCCATTGATATGCTGTTAGAGACAGACGTGGTGGCATATTCTTACCATGGCACTTGGAGTCTTTAGTTTTGCTATGATCTAGTAATCAATAGTCTTTATATTTTTTATAATAGAAATTTCATATTCTTGGAGTGATGCCATGAGTGCAAGAAGTGCAAAACTAATGATAAAGCCTCTGGCTGGTAATCTGATGGTGATGAGAAATTTGTAATTAAAGGAAACAGTCCTTTTACATAGCAGGGAGCAAAGTCCATTATTTAGAGCAGCAGACTAGCAGTTGGTTATCCTGGGTTCTGTTTACAGTTCAGCCACTGCTTTAATTGTAAGTTTCAGACAAGTCACATGATTGCAGTTTGCCTCAATTCATATGTATATGGAAATCATGAACTTTTTCTCTTTCAACAGAGATATTAAGAAAAATAATTTTGATGTAAAGCAAATAGAATGTTGGGGGAGAACCCTCAACAGCCACTGTAAGGGTACTGTGGGTGTTTTTTATTTGAACTTAATGAATTGTCTTCCCAATCTTGGATTTCTCTTTGCCCTCTCTGTTGGAGAACTCACAGTCCTGGGTTTTGGTCACTTCACTTTTATATTGGCTTAGTAAATATACTTTTGCCTTCTTGACAGGTTTATTGTTGATACAATAGTATGGATGAAAAGATTATCAAAGGGATCAAAACAAAGACACTCAGTTCTTTGAAATAATGTAATAATAATGTGATATGATAGAAGAAATATTATTGTGACCAGAAGGACTCAGTGACTTACTACCTACTTCATTTTTTTTCTCTATAGCATTATTTTAAAAGTTTCCTGTATGATTCTTAAAACGAGAGAAAATATAAACAATTAAAAAATACAAAATCACTTTTAATGTCTTCATTTAGAATTGGGTTCTCGTTGAATAATAGTTTTGAAACTGTGCCTATTACTTAAACTTTTTTAGTTTTTAAAATACTGTTATGAAATTATTATCCCAGGTAATCTTAGAATCATTTAATTTTTAGTTGTAGTTGTAATTGGGTTTAACATTTGTCCATGAAATTAAAAAGTGATATGTAAGTGATATGTTCAGATTCTAAGAGCTTGTTATCTTTATTTAGGTCTTTCATCTAAGTCAGTTTCTTAAACTACATAATGCATATTTTGGTTGAATTTATTCCTTTTTCTTTATTTTTTTTTTGCAATAAATGCCAGCTTTTGTTTTATTGTGTATTATTACTTTGTTTTTAAATGGTACCTTTTTAAATCATTAAGGTAGTCATAGTTAACGCCACTGTATTTTCAGAAATACATGATCCCACCTCTTCAGATATATATGCCACAGCACAACTACCATGAAGGGCTCCACAATTCTCTACCACAGTTCATCCGGTCCTTCCACCTTTGCTTTTAACACCCCTCCTCCATTACTAGG